TCAATCTGATGCAGCCTAGTTACTATTTCAGGCCACTGAACTCATTTAGACGGACAAAGTCACATGATCACCTGGATCACCACGAAGGGCCCTTAGTGTGTGACAACTTCTATTACCTTAATTTGCACAAGAATCCCCCTAAGAATCCTACTATGAGCTCATGGGTCAAACCCCCAGGGGGTGGCTTTTAAAAGCGTGGTTTTAGGTCAGCAGTCTTTATTAGAAGCTAACGCTTTGCCTCACCTTAATGAACTCGTCACCTTCCTCAGTGGGGACGCCGATTGAAGTGACCTGCCTATCTGTAGCTACTCAGCCCCTTCCCATGATTCCAGGAGAGCCGTTTCTGGGTGATGTTTGGGAGAAGCTTGGCGGGCGGCTGAATCAGAGAGCTAATTATTCTTGTTAATCACCAGCAGTCCGTCCCTCTCGCCCGCCACCCGCCCTCTCGCAAAGGAAGTTGTGAAAGTGGTTATAGCTGGAGGGGAGCTGCCCAGGCAGCGAGTTGCACACGGGCGCCCGCTCCCCGCGCCGTATCCAGACGCTCCCCGCCGCTCCTCCGCTTCGGCGCTGGCTGGAGGCAAAGTGGGGGCCCAGCTCGTTACAGCCAGACGTCCCACGCTCGCGAAACTGCTGAGAAGCAGGCAGAGCCGAGAGCGGCAGCCATGGCTGAGATGGTGCAGGAGGATCTGAGCGCCGTCATGTGTGAGGAAGCAGACGACTTCTTCTCCGAAGGTAGGCTGCACATCTCAAGCACAGGGGCCACGTTTTTTTTTTTTCTCCATTTATTTCGATTTCTTTAAATGTTCAGCATATTGAAGAAGCAAAATCGGGCAATAACAGCTTCTGCAATCGCGCTGACAGGATTATAATGCTGGCAAATATCCAGGGGAGAGACAGGACACCATTTTTAAAAAATAATAATGATTCCACCACTGCAGCAGTTTAAATAAATGTGTGAAAACAGAGGCGTGAATCGCTGTCTGTGCGGAGAGGTGCACTGCACGCATTTCTGTATTGCTTAAGCCATTCTGAGCGTTGCTTCATCATCAGTGTGCAGTCGTGAAAGAGAAAGGCAGACATTTAAATCAGTCAAATGCTGACAGGAGGAGATTGTGCCAATGACTGCGTGTAATTTAAAAATCAGTTTGTTTAAGAAACCAAAAACCTCAAAAAGGTTCACTCTTGTCATTACACCAATAAAATGTAGCAGTTTCTGTGTGGGAGTCATTGAAGATAACATTGCAATGGCTATTAAGATAATCTTAGGTAATTATATTCAAGCATTTATTTGCAGTTTAGATCACGATTTACAATTTTATTACTAAATTCATTAAAAGGCCCATTTCCTTGTAAACTGTTGCGTCCACATGCAAATGATCGGCATGTTCGCAGTGCTGGGGGTCAGTTGTGGTTCTCCTGTCTTGGTTTGGTGATGGTTCTGCATCCCTGGAGCAGCATTGGGAGACACGAGTAGGACCTGCTTGCCCTCATCCAGACTGTAGGAGCTGCCTGCGGTTCCCTAGACTTGGGAGCGAGATGAGGAGGAATGGCCAGCTATGTAAGAATGGGTGGGAGGATTTGGGGGGTCCTGAGGGAAGGGGAGCAGAGGCGCGGACATCATAATTCTGGGGAGGAACAGAAACAGTAGACAGCTGTTTGGCATTAGCACAAGTGGAATAAAAGAACAAAATAAGCATAAGCAACAGTGCAGGAGAGAGTTTGATATTGGGAGGAACTTAGTTTAATTATTTAAATACAAAACATCTATTTTATGGGTGGGGCAAATGAAGCCAAATTAAATATTGAGAGGTACACGTCCCTGGTTCCTACACCCCTTGGCATGAGGGTGTGGAAAGAGCTAAAGGGTGGTGGGGACAGGGGCGTCCAGATTCTCTAGGGGTCCCAAGACTTTGTGCTGGTAGCTGAGTGTCTGAATACGTGATTCGTATTTGCTACGCAGAATCAGTGGCTCCTCTTAAACCTAAACTTGCATTTAACATTCGATTGACGTCCACAACCAAAATTTCGATTTACCGTGTGTCACCATATCTTTACACGAAGACCATGAGCAACACCTTAATCTAATTTTATGAAATGTCTTTCGAATTATTTGTGAACAAAATAAAAACAATGGACATTTAATTTTTCTTTCTAAGTTAAAGGCTGCCCAGAGCAGCTGCCAGGATGGATGAGGTCGGGTCGGGACCAGTGTTGGCGACACACTTAAATAAACTACCAGTACAAATGGGTCACTCTTGATAACAGCAAGTGCTACATCAGCCAAAATAGATTATACTCATTGAAATCTCCATCCTTTATAAAGGGCATTTTCTTTGTTATTTTCAATAGTTTTTACGCACAGTGTTATACTACAATGATGAAACAGGACAGCAATGTACTACAGTCAGCTGAGATTTACAGAAAGCACTTGTGTGTAAACATTGTGAGACTCACTGCTATTGGTTAGTGTAATCACTGTGAGACTCACTCCTATTGGTTATAGATTAACACAGAGGTTATATTAATGTTGCAGGTCTGTGATTGAATGACCAATGCTGAAGATGCAAAGAGCCAGATCTGGTGTCATAAATCCATTTTCTCCTGCCTTTTATGTGTAGACACAAAGTTCCTTGGATCGCATGAAATAAGATCTTCTTCAAGTCCAGAGTACAGTATTTCAGTGTGATGATTGTCCTGGTGATGATTTATGCAGAAAAAGGAGGATCTACTGACAGTCTTTGTGTGACAGGATAGATTATAGGAGAGATTGTTGACTTTTGAAACTAGTTCTCTGGTGGTTCTTCTCCAGCACGATTCCAGGTCAAACACTGCAGAGTACCTTAACTTCCCCTGGGAGATTAAATTCGAGATTCACGATGATTTCTGAACCATGTGCAACAAATGTTTTGGGATGCTTACTTGTCTAACCGCGCCCAGTACAAGGAACAACAGTATTAAGTAAAGAATAAATAGACAATAGAGAGCTAGATATATAATAGCAAAGTGAAGACAAGTAACACATTACCAATTCAAATAAAGTTCCAAGTGCAATAACTGTGCAGTAATAGTTTAACCTATTAACATCATTTATGTAAGAGAATGACTGCATTAAAGTCATTGAAGTCAGGAGAGGATATTTCACATTCACATAAAGCACTATCATGCACTCACACACTATCATTCACCATCGCACACTATCATGCACCATCGTGCATCTTGGACATGGTATCGGTCTCCTAGCTAAATAAGCTATTTCCTTTTAGCTGTTTACCTAATTAAGCGTCTCTGACACATGAAATGCATTTCTGCAGCAGGTAAAGACAGGAACGAGCCCTGCAGGCCTACCTTGTGTGAGCTCAGTCATTTGTAATCTTAGGGGGTTTTGCTAAGTCTCAAACAACACAAGGTAGCAACTGAAGAAGAGGGGCCCTATTGGACCCCAATGGCCGCGATCAAAGTCATACCTATGTGTAGCAACAACTGCAATTAGCTAACCGCAAGCCCTATAATCACGTAGGAATGGTGGCAGGGCTTGACCATATAGCCAGCGACAGCCTTTATTTTCATGATGACCTTCTTCAAAGGAATGGTAAGCTTTTCTGTGAAGGTCCATCCAGCCATCTTCCATAACTGCTTATTGAGTGCCATTTACAGCATTTAAGTGGAGGTACACAACAAGCACCAGGAATGGCCGCTCATTTCTGAGAAATCCAGCTGGCATCGCTAAAGTATTAACTTTCTGCTCTGAACACTGCCTCTCACCAGCTCAGCCCTCCAACCCTGATGGCTCTCGGAAGGGCTGCCCAAATCTCTACTGTGAGTAGAGATGTGTAAAAGAGGCTTCACAGGGATCTTGCATCATCTTCTGGGCACCTGTAAAGTGCCACTCTAGTATAGAAGCAGGAATCTTGTCACCAGAGCCAGTCCTAGTAGACTGAGGTGAGAAAATGTCACATTTGACATTTTTCTGTTGGCATTTTACGAATCTGTAACATGATAGCAACCTAAGCCAAGGTTTCAAGCACTTTACCTAGACTGTAGATGAGAAGTTCCAAAATATGTATAGATAGCTAAAACCGCTCCTCTAATCACTGCAGATTGTTTGCCTTAAAGTAAATATAACTGCCTGGTGGGGGGGGGGGGGGGGGGG